GATCTACACTCTAATGCGCAAGTTAATATGACACAAGAGAAGAATGTATGTAAAGTATAGAGAAATTTGGAGAGAGAAACAAGTTTAGATAGATGGCAACTTCTATGGTGCCGGCACGACATAGATGCCGTCATTTTACTAGCCGTCAGATATAACACATCAAATCTGTGCCTTTGATTTAGATTCACCACTTATTCCAAACCGGTTGAACTTATTACTTTTGGTTGACTCGTTTCTTTTTACCAATGTTCATTATTATATTTATTTTTCTTAATGACTATTTTTTAGTTCTTACCGAGAACACAAACAAAAACTGGAAAAAACCATCTAAATAGTTTCATGGTCGCCTTCCATTTATCTTCATGAACCAGTAGAATCAATTATGTCACGCAAATCCATCTTTTCACCTCTCTCTGATCACTATTACTATAGCTCTAGCACTGAAATGGCGTATTCCCCGGCCGCCGAGAATAATTATAGTCCGACGAACTTTTAAGTCAGAATCCCTAAATAGATATATGCTTGGGGTAGGGCTGTCCATTTGGTTTTGATTTTTTGGTTTTAACCGAAACCAAACCAATTGGAAAGCTAATGGTTTCACTTTTTCGGTTTTAAACCAATAAGCAACTTAATGGTTTTGGTTTGGTTAAAACCGAAAAACCAATAGAAACCAATAAGAATAAAATTATTTATCAACAAATATTTTTTTGTTTCTTTTGACACGCATGCCAACCAATAATTTGTAATGACCATTTACCATTATTATGACGTTTATTCAATAAAAAGGAGGGAAATGAGAATAAATATGAGTGTATGAGTACATGTTGGTTTTTTGGTTATCCAAACCAAAACCATTAAAGTCCTTATTGGTTTTTGGCAACTGAAAACCAATAAGGACGTTAATGGTTTTGGTTTTGGTTTTTGGTTTTTCATACTTAATGATTTGGTTAACCAAACCAAATTGACAGCTCTACTTGGGGGTTGCGGCGACACCATTCGCATCCTCAACTATTTCCTTGGTGTCTGAAATTCAAATCAATTCAAGAAAATTCTAGTCCTCCTACTTCTTGAGGTTATCTCGATATCATCACCCGTCTCCCGAGTTTATGCTCAGCGGTATTGAGGATCTCTCTTGTGACAAGGACAAAGACGATGTAGCGATGGTCGGGCGGCAGAAACGACGGTGATGCTAGTGGTGAATTGGATTGACGGAGGCTGTGATCTGTATGGTGATAGTTGGCTGACGAGAACGACAATGATGATGGTGCAGTTTCGGAAAGGTGGCGTACTGGCGTCACTTTCCGAAGAAGAAGATACGAAGGAATTCAAGGAAAGAAATTTTTTTTGGGGCTTTTTGATTTGATTAATTTATTTAATCGAACATGATCAAACGCTGGTAAAAAGAAATCAAACATGATTAACAAATTCAAACCAAATCGATTTTGGGTGAACCATCCAGCTAAGTGACGGCATGGGTGCCGCATCGGCACCATAAAATTCCGTAGATAGAGACATGTATAGTGAATGTGGGAAGGGAAGAAGGGTATCCCTATCTTGGAAGGTTTGAGGATCCTTTGTCCTTTCACAAGAAAAAGGTTGAGCCCTTTGGTGAGAAGCCCTAGAGTGTTCTTGGACCCTAGTTGAGATGCTTCCCAATGGTTGGGCGCCTAGGCCTTTGTGAGAACTTTGGTGACAAGACTAAGAAATGTTAATTAATAATTACTCATGTTCCAACAACACCATTATGTAAGATGTTACACCACTTGCATAGAATACTTAGTTGGCGATTAGAAATGAATATTATTGTGATTGTGGTGAAATTCAATACATGGCGTGATTAATCATTTAGTCTTGTCAAGTCTAGTCCCTCGCTGACTTAGTTTTCATGCGTTATCTTCGGCCTACCTCTCTTTTCTTTCCATTGTCTCATGTAGGGGCGAACATAAAAATATGAAAATTGGTCCAACTCGTCAATCCAAACCGATCTAACTGTGAGACAATTAGGTTTATATATTGTCACAAGTAAATAGTTATAAGTATATACACAATATGTGCTCTGGTTGTTAAAATTGAGTGATGTGTCTCTTACCGCGAGAAGATTTCTTCACATGTAGAAAGTACGAGTTCCAATATTACCTTCAATATAAGCTGTAGCAATGGCTGGAAAGGATATCATGACAAAGTAGGGGTGATAATTCGGTCTTGGTTATTCGGTTTACCCGACAACCGAACCGAAATGTCGGTTTATCGGATAACCGAAACCCGACTATAATAGGTTCGGTGTCGGCGTCGGTTGCCAATTTTTGGGAATATCTGTAACCGACGGTTGCCGGTTGCTAACCGAGAAAAAATCGGTGCACCGCTGCTAACCGCCGGACCTCTCCACTGCGCACGCCGATGAGAATGACGAAGAAGAGGAAGAGTGGAAGACCAATATGCCGGCCATGCGAATCACTCCCTCTCCTCCCGCAGCTCTCTCCTCTTCCTTCCTTTCCAAATTCCCACCTTTCTCCACTGTTGCCCTCATAAATCCCTAATTCCTAAATAGCTAAATCCCAAATTCCCAATTCAACCTCCTTATCTCAATTTTTGCCGACCCAGAGATGGAAGAACACCAACTTCTTCTCGATTCTCATCCTTCTAACCTAGCGCCCCAACCTGAGCGTCGCCGACCCTATCTCCCCAATCCCGACCTTGGCGAGATCTAGCCACGACTTTGCTTGGAGGAAGAGAAGCAGAGGGTGTCGAAGCGGCAGCCTTTGGCGAAGTAGCTCCTCCGCGGCGGGTTCAGATCCAGGCCCGCCATCTCTGCCTCTAACAACTCTTTCCTTTGGCTCCGATCGAAAAATCCAACAACAACACCTCCATGCATGTTCTAGTTCCGGCAGAATCTGGCCGATTCAAAAATTGTCGGCTGAAAAAGAGCGGAGGAGTAAATTGGAAAAAGTCGAAGTGGAGAGGATTGGAAGGGAGTCGTCTGTGGTCGATGGGATTGATGGCAGCCGATAGGAGTGAGAGAGAGAGAGTTGGAGAGATCGAAAATGGAGAGGGGACTTGCGGTCTCGGCTAACCGCAACTCCAAACCGAAACCGCCGTCTGCGGTTAGCGGTTCACCGATGGTCTTGTCGGTGTCGGCTTCGGTTGGCAATGATAGGGTATTTGCGGTCTCGGCTAACCGATGGTGCGGTTCGGTTAAACCGAAACCGCACCGACTAACAGGCCTATGACAAAGTGCATATCTAGAATACAATGTTGCTGATCAATGCAAGAAGTTTTTGTTTTGTGTGCGAGTATTTTCTAATTGTTGCTTTCCTACCATGGTTATTTCTTCTCCATAGTGTTTGTATGTGAAAAAACTGTATACAGATGAATCAAAATAACACTCCTGAAGACGATGGTGAGTATATACTGTAAAGTCTGTGTACAGGCTTTGGGAAGACAGGAATGTAGAAGACGATGGTGAGTTCTATTCACCAGTGAACTGGAAGAAGCTTTGGAACTTCCAGATCCCTCGAAAGGTTAAAATGTTTGTCGGGCGATGGTTGCGGAATATACTTCCTACAGGTGCTCCAATTTTAGACCGGACACAGAAGGGTAGTGCGGGCTGGCCATTTTGCGATCTAAGGGAAACACAAGAGCATATATTTTGAGATTGTGCATGGGTTCGAAGGGTATGACGTTCTAGCCCTATGTGCTCCTACATCGGCAAAGGCGAAGAGCTTACCTCGGAAGAGTGGTACTGCGAACTCCAAGAAACTGAATCGGAAGAAATGCTTGGATCGTTTCTGGTTGCCCTCTGGTACATTTTGGATTAGCACAACTGCCAAATATTGCCGACAAAGCCGGAGCAAATGGAGGAACAACGGTGGCAACCATCGACGCTGGCTCTAGTGAAGCTCAACGTTGATGCAACTTGTATCGAGGGTCGGGGAACGAGATGTGGAGTGGTTGCTCGGGACATTGGAGGAAGATTTCTCTTTGGAGGGGTGAAGAGATCACGGATTCAATGGAACCCGGAGGAAGCAGAAGCACTGGCTGTTGATTTTGGTTTGGAAATGGCACGAAGATTGGAGATTGGAGAAATGGAGATAAAATCATATTGTCAGGGGGTAATTCAACAGCTAAGAAGGGAGGATGATGGGGTGATCGAGATTGGGCTTGTTTGTGCGGAGCTCAGGGCCAAAGCCCAGATAATGGGTGGAGTACGTTGGAGTTGTGTGAGCCATAACAGAAATAAACCGGCCCATTTGATGGCCCAAGTGGATTGTAGTTGGGATAGTGAGGAGGTGTGGATTGATAGCCCACCTCATTTTCTTATACCTCTTCTTAGAGGATGTTCTTGAAAACACTGATGATTATATTTAAATAAATGAATGAAGTTTTCTCTAAAAAAAACACTCCTGAAATTGTTAGACTATAAAGACCTAAAACGAGTCGTCCAACCCACCTACAACCCTATTCTCATGTGAAATTTTCCACTGTAATGTTATTTGTAGCCCATTTTGTCCATTTTCATGGTTGCTTCCCCTCAAGTTTCCAAGAATAAGGCAAGACTTTTTGCTCTCACAGTACCTTTCCGGGTTAGTTTTGTAGATATATTTGTAGTTTAGTCTATGGAATGCTTGGTGAATTTAGCATATAAGATATTGCTAGTAAGGTGACGCTATCTGGACCATAAATGAATTAACATTTAATTGATGACACCTAAACTTTAACTCTCCAAACTCAAATCAGAACATCAATTTTATAAAAAATCAACAATCAATATAATTATTTTGATTCATCGAAGTACTTTAAGTACTCCCAATAACCAAATTACATGCATATATATTTTACTTCAAGTACACCTAACCTTTCTGGTCATATAAGAAACTAATAATACAAATACTTGTAATATTTTGAACTTATCGGATATAAATATGAAATAGAATGATTAGTAGCATTATTTTATATGGAGAAGAATATAATCACTTCCCCTCATTCATATTCTACATAATCAACTATATACGAAGTTCCCACACCTTGTACCTAGTTGGCACAGGAAGATGGTCCACCACAAAATAATAACAACCAGTTATGGTGACCCCAACATAATAAAACCATGCTTGTTTCCAATATGGATTTACATATAGAACACTAGCAATTATTAGCAACACCATGATAAAAGACACTCCACTACTGGCATAGAAACTCTCCATATCAATAAATCCATCTTCTCCATCATCATCTCCATCATCAGAAGTTGTCGGCCTTAATGGTGGTTTTGGTGTTAGCAGTGGTAATGTGCAATTGAGAAATAGGTTTCCTTGGTAGCTATTTTCGTCAAATGTACTAAATTGTGTAATCTTCTGAGGACACTTACCAGACAAATTGTTATAAGCCACGCTAAAAGAGGATAGAGAATGCAACTCAGTGAGTTGAAGACTAATCACCCCACTCAAATTATTATGAGAAAGATCCAAACTCTCAATTTGCGACATGTTTGCAATGGTGGGTGGGATGGGTCCTGTGAACTTGTTGTATGATAAATTGAGGACTTTGATATTACCCAAATGGCCGATTTGAAGAGGGATATTGCCAGTGAGATTGTTACTGGAGAAATCCATGCCAGAGATTAATTGGAGAGGCACCCCCTTGTAAGTATATAATAACGTCTTAGAGACAAACTCCATATCATGATTAGGTTTGGAGAATGCAACTCGTGCATTGCAATTGATGATATTTGATGTGAATATTTTGGAGGTAAGATGACCAGATAGATGATTGTGAGAAAGGTCAATCAATTTTGAATTCTCCAAGCAAAATGATACTGGAACCTCTCCATGAAACTGGTTGTCATTCAACAAAATATAACTCAGTCGAGGTAGCCTAGAAATCCAATATGAGATTGTGCCTGTGAAACAATTGTGACTGAGATCCAAGACACCTAACCAGTATCCTGTATAGTTAGTGCTGCTGCTAGCACTAAAATCCCCAAGTTGATAAGATAAATTGGTGGTTAAGGTTCCTCCTAGTTGATTTCTGGACAAGTAAACTTCTTGCATCCATGGTGAAACGAAACCTGGTGGCAGATTTCCCGAAAGCTTATTCTTTGAAAGGTCAAGGATGGAGAGCATCGTTAGATCCCAAATCTCTTTAGGAATCTTACCAGTGAGTTGATTGTTCCTAGCTTCCAATATGTGAAAAAGGAACAATTTGACAATTGTGGTGGTATTTTCCCGAAGAATTTATTACCAGATAAGGATAAAGATTCTATGTTGGGGAAAATTGTGCAGATGTTAGGTGGAATGGGACCTGAAATGAAGCCATTGTTGGAGATATCTAAATCCATTAGGTTTTTGTGAGGATGGATTGGAATTTGGAAATGCCCTGAGAGTGAACAATTGAGAAGATAAAAAACTTTCAAGTTTGTGTTGTTAGCTGGAAACCACGATAGGAACCCAATATCTCCCTTCATTTCGACTTTCGACATGCGTAAATAGAGCAAGTTGGTCTGATGGTAGAGAAATTTAGGAAAAGGGCCGCCACCACCACCACCACCACCACCGTCACTTGGTGAAGATAAATCCAGTTCTATCAGTTGGAACAGTGGTGTACCCTGTTGTACCGGAGTATGGTGGTCACCATGTTGTCTGCAAATATCCGCAGAAAACCTTAGGAGACGAGAATGGTTGAAGAAAGGGGAGAGAGAGATTGGAATCCATATTGGATTTTTGTAGATGGCAATCTCCACAAGGGACACGAGATGTGGAAGGGGAGACTCCGAGACATCCCCCGAAATTTCATTATCAACGATACTCAAGGATCGGAGTGAGGTCAAGTTTGATAGACATTGTGGCAACTCGCCCCACAAATTATTATCCGTGAAGTCCAGTTGTCGGAGACGCAGTAAGTTGCAAAAAGCTGCATCATAGCAAGACTTGCCTAATTAGAGCTACACTTATATTGTTATACATGCATAACATATCGCAAAAGAGGAAGAAACAAGAGGTGAAGCATCATACCTTTGGGAATGGTGGAATTGAGGCTCGAGCCTTGAATCGACAAATAGGTAAGATTCGTCATTACTGTACCAATGGTTTCAAGGAAGTTGTTGCTTGCAAAGGAAGAATCAAGTATCCTCAAACTTTCCAAATGTGGCCATCCTACACATCCATATCCAACAACCGATTATTATTAGGAATTGAAATAGTATTTGATCTAATTGCTATTGTCTATATTGGTATTGGGTAATGATCCAAATGGATCCATATGCCCTCTTTATGGTTTTGGGTTTGAGTTGGGCCCAACTTGATCAACTCATTTGGGCCAGACCCAAATGAATCTATTTCGATGGAGATGATTGTACACACAAAAAGACAATATCGATCGTATCACTAATTGTCGTCAACCCAATTCACACATCCAGAATTGATACTTTTACATTACTATTTTTTTTTCATAGCAAAGACAAGAAAAAAATGTCATTAGGATTTGTTATCCATTTTCTTTTTTTGGTACCCAACACAATAGGGTTAAAGACACATTTGGTCACTGAGATTACAAAATCGGGACATGTTTAGTCACTAGAAAAATTTAATATCAAATTTGGTCACTACAATTACTAAAACTGGACGCATTTAGTCACTCGCCGTTAGTCTCCGTCCAACTCCGTTAATGAAATCCGTTAAGTGCTGATGTGGCAAACAGAATTGCCTAATCAGCCGGATATTAACCCAACAAAAATAAAACCCGACCCGCCACGTCATTATAACCCGCCACCTCATTAAAACCAACCCAACCCAACCCAACCCATCACCCAACCCTACCCAACCCTTCTTCCTCCTTCCTCCCCAACCCAATTTAGGGTTTTCCCCAGTAATCTGCCGGCCGCCCTTCCTTCATCTTCTTGAGGAATGTGGCGGTGCCGGCTCGGAGCTCGGTGGTTCTTCCATTGCCCGTGAACACTGTCGTACTTGAACATATACGTCTGAACAAAAACCAAGCACACACTATAAATCAGATCATTTCGTGGTTTCCAAACGATTTCCCATTCGCCTCCATTTGCATTAAACGTTGAAAACGTACCATGTAGTCAGTGGTGATGAAAGGATCGTTGACGGCGACGAGCTCGACATCGTCTCTCTGTAACGCTACTCTGGCGACCAAGCGCCCAATTCTTCCGAAACCTAACATTTCCAAAACAAAGAATTACCCATAAAGTCAATTTCTCGCTACCATTACAGAAAAAATGAAGACAAAGAAGAAGAGAGAGTGCATACCGTTGATTCCGATCTTGACCTTCGCCATTGATGGAGCTGGGAGTCAGAATTCGCACACGGAGAGGGGAAAGCAGTCGCAGGAAGCAAATAAAGATGTTGGGAGGAAAGGATTTTGGAAGGAAAGGGAAGAGCACATTTATAGTGATGGAGATTTCCCGAACTGGCGAAACACGATTCGACAATGCCGCCGGCAGCTGAGGAGGCGGCGAGTTCACCCGCCATTTCCGATCGTTCTTTACCTCGATTTTAACTCGACTGAACAACTACGTGGCCGGAAGCAGAGTCGGGAAGCAATTCAAACTCGATGAGCGGAAAACTTGCTTCATCACCGAGCTCCGAGCCGGCACCGCCACATTCCTCAAGAAGATGAAGGAAGGGCGGCCGGCAGATTAATGGGGAAAACCCTAAATTGGGTTGGGGAGGAAGGAGGAAGAAGGGTTGGGTAGGGTTGGGTGATGGGTTGGGTTGGGTTGAGTTGGTTTTAATGAGGTGGCGGGTTATAATGACGTGGCGGGTCGGGTTTTATTTTTGTTGGGTTAATATCCGGTTGATTAGGCAATTCTGTTTGCCACATCAGCACTTAACGGACTTCATTAACGGAGTTGGACGGAGACTAACGGCGAGTGACTAAATGCCGTGTGCGTGCTGCTTAATAGAGGCATATGTCTATTTTTGGAGGGTCGTTTCTTTAATAGAGGCACCTCACCAATTCCAGTCCAATTGTTTTTCTGAGGCTTCATCTCTGTATCTTGCTCAAATTCGTCATTTGGATCTGAGCTGCTGCCTGCAATAGCAGTGTCTGCAATTCCACAGTTATTTCTTTTATCCAGTCTATTTACTTGCTGTAGAGCTTTGTCTGGAAAAATTACACTACTATCCACTTCTTCATTCCTCAATGCTCGCCGCTACCGAAAGGCAGAAACTTTGGCTGATGGGGAGATGAGATGTATTATATAAAAAAATGAAGAGCACCATTCAAAGTTCTCTTTGGCTTGTGAAGTAGTCAAAATCTATAATAGTTCTCTGACTGGAAGCAAATTCAATCACATTTCAGTACTCAGTTGCTGTATGGCTGAGTTCTCATGGAAGAATCAGTTAATCTCCTTCCTATGATTTCAGCAAGGTTGAGTTAAAAACGTTCATCTTCTTCTCCTCATTTTTCCTTCTCCAAAAACACAAACACAGAAGTCAGAAAGGTTGCTGCTTTCGGACTTTGGTTGAAGGGACTCCTGGTGTTGGTTTGCCTAATTCCTACCAGCAACAAAGTAGTGGGGGCAAATAACACTCTAAGGAGAGTGATTAAATCACGCCTTCAATCCGTTTCTCCATACTGTTTCCCTGACAATCTTAGAGTGTTATTTTCGTGTGACAATGGATTCTGGAGTGGAGAGCACTTTGAAGGCGTATGCCTCTGATTCCAATAAACTCAATCGGTTTGATGGAACCAATTTTACCCGCTGGCAAGAGAAGATGAAGTTTCTGTTGACTGCTTTGAAGATCGTGTACATACTGGATCCTGATTTGGTGCCGCTAGAAGAACCACAAGACACTGACTCTGATGAATTGAAGGCTGAGCGCAAGAAGAGGAGTGATGACAGCCTGCTGTGCCGAGGATACATCCTCAATTCACTCTCTGATCGTCTCTACGATCTGTATTCCCAGTTGGCGACCCCTACTGAGATTTGGACATCCTTGGAGAACCAGTACAAATCAGAGAAACAAGGCGCAGATAAGTTTGTCACATTCCAGTTCTTTGAATTTAGTATGACTGATAAGCGTTCAATTCTGGATCAAGTTCATGAATTCCTAATCTTGGCCTCTAAGTTCACTGCGTTGAAGATAACTCTTCCTGATGCGTTTCTGGTGGGGGCGATTATTGCGAAGTTGCCTCCATCATGGACAATTATAGGAAGAAATTACTTCATACGTCAGAGGAGTTCACTTTGGAGCAGATTCAGAAGCACCTTAGGATCGAGGAGGAAACTCGTATCCGTGACAAGGATCTGAATTCGGAGGCACCATCAAGTTCCAAAGTGAATGTTGTGGAGAGCAAGAAGGGGAAGAAGAGAAAGGCCATGAATAATTCCAACAACCAGACCAACAACCAGAAGAATAAAAAGAAAAAGCCGTCCCCTATGTCCACTAAGAATTGTTTCAATTGTGGGCAATTGGGACATATTGTTCGCTTCTGTCCTAATCCAAAGAAGAACCAGAACGAAGGGGCTGCAAGTGCAAATGTGATTGAGAAAGTTGAGCCTAGTGAGATTGTTGCAATGATTTCTGACTTACATGTGAGTATGATTCAGGAATTGCACATGGCTGGAGTCATGACCAGTGCTGATTGGTGGTATGATTCGGGGGCAACTGCTCACATTTGCAACAAGAGAGCCATGTTCAAGGACTACACAGAGTCAACGGAGGGACACGAGGTTCTATTGGGTGATCATCGCACGATCAAGGTTCTTGGATCTGGAACCGTGGAGCTTTTCTTCACTTCGGGAAAGAAAGTTGTTCTCACCAATGTCCTTCACGTTCCTGATGTTAGAAAGAACTTGGTTTCTGGTTTCATGCTTTGTAAGAAGGGGATAAAGGTTGTGATAGAATCTGATAGGGTGATTCTGACCAAGGCTGGTATGTTTGTTGGGAAGGGCTATGTTAGTGATGGTATGTTTAAGCTAAGTATTGACAATGGTAATATTAATAATAAAGTTGATGGTTCTGCTTATATCGATGTGCATGCAAATTATAGTATAGAAAGTAATTCATTTGATTTATGGCATAATCGATTGGGGCATGTTAACTTTAAGACTCAGAAATATATGTCTAGGAATGGTTTAGTAATTTGTGGTGATGACAGTGGAGATAAATGTGAAATATGTGTGCAAGCTAAAATGAAGAGAAAGCCATTTCCTAAGTTAGTTGACAGAAAATCAGAATTGTTGGAATTAGTACATTCTGATATTTGTGAATTTCATGGTCAATTAACTAGAGGAGGATGTAGGTACTTCATTACTTTCATTGATGATAGTACTAGATTTACCTATGTCTATTTAATGCGAACCAAGGATGAAGCCTTTGATAAGTTTAAGTTGTATAAATCTGTTGTTGAAACTCAAAAGGGTAGGAAAATACAGATCCTTCGAAGTGACAGAGGTGGAGAGTATTTTCCAAATAACTTTAACGAGTTTTGTGAGCAACATGGTATAATACATCAAAGGACTGCTCCTTACACCCCACAACAGAATGGAGTAGCAGAGAGAAAAAATGGAGTTCTTTCTGACATGATTAATGCTATGTTGATGAATGCTAGTGCTCCAAACAATTTATGGGGTGAGGCTCTGCTAACAGCCTGCCATGTACACAATAGGATTCCGTCTAAGAAGCTAAGGGAATCTCCCTATGAGTTGTGGAAGGGAAGGAAACCGAACTTGAGTTATCTTAGAGTTTGGGGCTGTCTTGCTTTCTACAGAGTCCCAGATCCTAAGAGAACTAAGTTAGGACCACGAGCTTTGAAAGGTGTTTTTCTTGGATATGCAGAAAACTCAAAAGCCTATAGGGTTCTAGATTTAGAATCTAATGTGGTTGTGGAATCGAGAGATGTTGAGTTCTTTGAGAACAAGTTTCGACGTGACTCTGCAAATGTAGAATCATGTCGAGTTACTTCTGTAGATTCCTCAAACGAGTCTATCTCTGCTCCCGCTTTTGACATTGGTTCTAGTAGCAAAAGGCCTTTAGATAACCCTGCTGCTAATGAACCACGAAGAAGTCAAAGGGCTCGAAAAGAAAAGAGTTTTGGTCCAGAATTTATTGATCCTCAAGATATAGTCTTTCTTGTAGAGGGAGATAGGTTAAATAAGGTTACAAGAAAGATACCCATTTTGTTCCATGTGCAAGACGATCCCAAAACCTATCAAGAAGCAATGGCTTCTAGAGATTCTGCCTTTTGGAATGAGGCTGTTAATGACGAGATGGATTCGTTATTAATAAATAAGACTTGGGTTCTTGTGGATTTGCCTCCTGGATGTAAGGCTATTGGATGCAAATGGGTATTTCGCATTAAGTATAACACGGATGGATCAATACACACCTTCAAAGCTAGATTGGTGGCAAAAGGGTTTAGGCAAAAAGAAGGAGTAGATTGCTTCGACACCTATGCACCAGTTGCAAGAATTACTTCCATAAGAGTGCTTTTAGCTTTGGCTTCTATTTACAATTTGCATGTACACCAAATGGATGTAAAGACGGCATTCTTAAATGGTGAGTTAGATGAAGAAGTGTATATGGAGCAACCAGAAGGGTTCGTGTTACCTGGAAATGAAGGAAAGGTGTGTAAGTTGCAAAAGTCATTGTATGGACTTAAGCAAGCACCTAAACAATGGCATGAGAAGTTTGATTCTGTTGTCTTGGCTCATGGATTTTCACACAACTCTGCTGATAAGTGCATTTATTCAAAGTGCACAAAAGAGTATATGGTCATTATATGCCTTTATGTTGATGATATGTTGATAATAGGAACAAACATGAAAGGTATAAATGAGACCAAAGAGTATCTAACTTCCTGCTTCGAAATGAAAGATCTTGGAGAAGTAGATACTATATTGGGCATCAAAGTAAAGAAACATAGTGGGGGTTTTGCTTTGAGTCAGTCACATTATGTCGAGAAGATGCTCAAGAAATTCGAGCATTTGGATATAAAGGAGGCTAACACCCCTTATGATGCATCTTTTAAGCTTTGTGCGAATGAGGGAAGGGCAGTGGCACAATTTGAGTATTCTAGTGCTATTGGAAGTTTGATGTATGCAATGGGATGTACTAGGCCCGATATTGCATTTGCGGTGGGCAAACTTTCTAGATTCACTAGTAATCCTAGTGCCGATCATTGGAGAGCTATAGGAAGAGTCTTTGGTTATTTGAAAAGAACCAAAGATTTGGGACTCTTCTATAGCAACTTCCCCGCTGTACTAGAAGCATATTCTGATGCTAGTTGGATCACGAGCGCTAGTGATAATAAATCCACAACAGGATGGATTTTTACACTAGGTGGTGGAGCTGTTTCTTGGGCTTCGAAGAAACAAACATGTATTACACACTCCACTATGGAAGCCGAATTCCTAGCCCTTGCGGCGGCTGGAAAAGAAGCAGAATGGCTAAGGAACATGTTGTTAGATATAGAGTTGTGGCCACAACCAATGCCAGCCATTTCTGTATTATGTGATAGTGAGGCTACGTTGTCTAGAGCTTATAATAAGATTTACAACGGTAAGTCTAGACATATTAGCCTAAGACATGACTATGTTAGGTATTTGATTACTAACGGAGTCATTTCTATTGTGTATGTAAGGTCGTGCAACAATTTGGCAGATCCTCTTACAAAGGGGTTGCCAAGAGGCATGATCTATGAGACATCCCAAGGGATGGGATTGAGACCTTTTGTATAGTTAGAAGTAATGGAAACCCAACCTTTTCTTTAGATATTCCCTAATTAAAAGGTTCAATGTGGTAATAACAAGTTACTCTAACTGGGAACTAGTTTATTGTACAAGTAAATTAGTTGTAAGAAGGGTGAGTTATAGAACTCTTAATGACGTTCATTTGGAATGTCACCTATGTGAGCATTTGGAGTGGTGCCGCTCTAACGAAAGTAAAGGTCAACTTTTGTATATGCTCATGAAACAGATAAGCACATGGCCATAATAGTGCTACCCTTGTTGGTGGATGTGTTTTAGAGAAGAGACGAGTACGTGTGTGGTGTCTCCGGTTCTAGATTTGGATCTTGACTCCTAGGCTTAAGCCCGTCATTGATTCGCTATGAACTTTGAGATGCTTACACTAAGTAAAGGTTCAAATCGAAAAGATACCTTTATGTATGCGTTACTTGTTTGAGGCTGGTATTCTCGACTCTTATTGACTAAGTGGGGGATTGTTAGAGTAGTCAAAGAGTAAAGGGAAATACCACATTGGTGGGAGAAGGAAAGTGCAAGTTGTTTTTAAGTTTGCCTTCCACTTTAGTTATTGGATAAAGTGGTTAGTGGGCTTTTGGAAAAAGTGTGGGCTATTTAGTTTGACATATTAAATCGCACTACGCACTTAGCACTTTGCGCGACGCGTTCGGAAATTGATTTTTTGGCTACTTAATTAATTTTCGGAATTAATTGGATTTAAGTTTTGTGAAACGACGCAACCCTTGAGTGAGAAGGGAACTGCCGTTTTCTCAAATCTTATAAGAGACGTTGGCCAGAAGGTTGAGTTAAAAACGTTCATCTTCTTCTCCTCATTTTTCCTTCTCCAAAAACACAAACACAGAAGTCAGAAAGGTTGCTGCTTTCGGACTTTGGTTGAAGGGACTCCTGGTGTTGGTTTGCCTAATTCCTACCAGCAACAAAGTAGTGGGGGCAAATAACACTCTAAGGAGAGTGATTAAATCACGCCTTCAATCCGTTTCTCCATACTGTTTCCCTGACACAAACTACCCCTGCCATTAATTAAATAGTCCTTCCCACTTTTTAACCATTGGATTGAAGTGTCCAGATCTAATGGCTAGGAGGGGCTTAGTCAAGTGACTAAGCACCCCCCTTAGTCACCGGATCCGCACTCCCTTCTTGCTATATATAGTCGTAAAAACTTCATGGTAAAGGAAACTGTACCGGACATCATACCGGATTCCTTTCTGGTATGGTATTTTGTGGTACGACCGTGGTTCAACCATTTTGTACCGGTAAATACCGTTTTTCACTATTGATAGAGAAATGAAATGCGATAGTATAAAAAATATAATCCATAAAAAAAAGAACCAAATAAAGCATTATACAACCACGGTGACCCATTTTCAACATAGAAAAATAGCAAAATAATATTCTTTTTTAATTATTTTCCACATATTGAACGAGAATACGGAGAATGAAGCTGAATCATAGACCAGGAAATCGGATCGTACCGGCCGGTTCAACCGGTCAAACCGGTCAAACCGAAAAACCGGCCGGCACGGTAAATCAGCACAATCAGCCCACCGTGCCGCTTTTGGTCCAATTTCCGGTTAAACCGGTTGAACCGGCCGGTACGATCCGGTTTCCTGGTCTATGAAAAACTTTCGACATCATTTCTACCATCCGATATTTAATGCTCCATACTCCTAATTTTTGGTGTGCCTGGACAACAAAATACTGTTGAAGACAAAAACAGGCCACATCTCAACCGCGACGGTTGGACTTATTGGGCTTTTTGTTGCTTTGGGTCCGGTGAGTTATATCACCTCGTGGGCCCAACATTTAGCAATCAATCCAGCCATCCAGGCGGGCTTAAAGAATTAATTATTTTTATACTCAAGAATTGGGCCGAAGTCCCGTTTTATTGTTATCGCTGCCGACGCGACACTCAAACTCTTGCTTCGTCTTGGGAAACAAGGAGAGAAAGAGGAAAATGGAGTCATCCGCTCAGGAGGAGAATGAGAGATGAGGAAAATGGAGGGAATGGCTAAAAGCCAAAAAGGTCGTAGCTTTCTTCTCCGAGCAGAAACAAAGTTCCTTCCATTACCTTTTCATCTATCTTTGTGAGCAACCCCCCCTTCCCCTTTGAATTTTTCTTTCCTTCTTCTCTCTCTCTCTCTCTCGTTAATAAAAGCTCTGCGTGTAGTTCTTCTTTCGTTTTTCAACGAGACTCTGCAATCTCCATGCTTGTCAAGCTGATACAGGCCCTCCCGTTGGTTTCCGGTATTCGTTTCTCTCGTCTATCCCGTTGCCGTGAATGGGTTTTGCTAATTCATACCCTCTTCTTTTATTAGGGGAAATTTTTTCCCATCTGGTTTCATTTCGGGGTTTCTGGGTTTGCACTTTTTAGAACGTCGATTCTTAGGTTTCTACCTGGATTATCGTGGTTGTGTGATGTCGCAATGTGGGTATGATCTCTTTTGTTTGGGTTATGCAGATTGCAGAGAGGACGTTCTGCGTTTGCTTTCTGGGGTTTGGCTTCTATAATGGTTTAAAATGTGGAAATCTGTCCGTTTATAGATCAAAGGTTCCTCGATTGCTGAAGCCTTTCTTGTTTGCTCTTTTCAATGCCTTGATATCTATGTCCTCAATTTCTTTCTCCGTCTTTTCGATGTTCTTTTTTCAGATAGTAGTTCATATTCAGGACTTGCGTTTTTTGAATGGTATTCCTATGGGGTCATTATGCTACGAACTTAGGATCATTACTTTGTCTAGTGGGCTGGGGATGTCTCTCTCCTCATGTTTGATTGCTGTTATCAGATGAACTTCTACCAAAAACAAAAAAACAAAAAAAACAAAAAATTCAAATTGTTGGCATTTTACTTTTTTTGAAGTCTAGTACAGCAGTAGCTAGCAGTTGGAGAAGTCTGCTAAGAAGTGGGATTCATAATTTACAGCCTATTGATGTTTCTTTGATGTTAGTAGTGGGTTGAATTTACTCCAGTTTCTTTCAATATAATTTCTTGATTCATGGATGGCTTTTCCCCCTTTTCCAATTTGGATCACAGGAAGTTGCTGCTGGTGGAATAAGTTCTTGAAAGCTTTTCTTGGTTGATGAGGAATGGATTTCACAAGCGGATAGGTTGAGCACAGAATCTGCTTTTGAAGCTGCTTTAGAGAGCAAAAAACCAGCAGCAGCAGTTGCCAACAGCCTCTTATATCAAGAATAGTTCCACAGACTTCTTGTGCCACATCATGGAGTTGGATTATAGATTACCTACAAAGAAACTTGTGGACTGTAGAATTTGTCATGATGAGGATGAGGACACAAGCATGGAAGTGCCGTGCTCTTGCAGTGGCAGTTTAAAGGTTGGTTATCCTTCGGTTTCTAATTTAAAAACTTGTATTTGCTGTTCCATATCATGATGATACATCACAAAACATAGATCCTCTTCCACGGACAATTTCTTGTTCCAATCATGATGGTTTCTTGGTTCTTCATCAGAGAGATGTTATACTTCTAGCCACTAGATTTTCCAGTTACATGAGATTGTGCTCTTCGTGCAAATTATCGACTGGCACGCGCTGGATTTATGAGGGATTCATTATATTTTAGCCCTTAAAAGAGATGGTGCAGCAAATTATATTTGGTATTTAAACTATTGTGACTGATTAGGAGTACTTTGTCCACATTGCAGTATGCCCACAGAAAATGTGTTCAGAGGTGGTGCAATGAAAAGGGTGACACTACCTGCGAGATCTGCCAACAGGTGCTTTATCACACTTACATTGTTTCCATGTCTCCCTGTTTATTTACAACACATCAAAGCGATGCGAAAATGGATATAAGCATTGTCTTTGGGTTTTGTCTTCATGCTCCAGCAATTCAAGCCTGGTTACACAGCACCTGCTCCATTGTTTCACTATGGAGGAATTCCTGTGAACTTCAGGTATTGTCTGTTCATTAGTACCAATATGGGTATGTTTGAACTTCTCCGTTAAGTCATACAATTCTTCTTTTTTTTGTTTTATATTTCAGGGGAAACTGGGAGATGTCTGGAAATGACTTCCATAATCATCAATTCATAGCAATGGTGACCGATGATCGTGATTTTTTGGACTCCGACTTTGATGATTATACAACTACTCCTTCTCCTACAAGCCTGATGTGTTGCCGGGTCGTTGCCATTATCGTACATCATTCTATCTCTTTCTCTCCTTCTCCTACAAGTCTGTGTATGCTATGCATACACGATATATGTTCATGGCTATCTTTTCCCCCCTGGTTGTATCGCATTGCCAGCATGCCTATGTCCCGTCCATGCAAACATCCTCACCTTCATTTGAATGTCCAATAGCTAGCCGAGTCCTTGTATGTTATGTGCTCAGGGGCACACTGCAGACACACATACCTCGCTAAGTCACTATGTCTCCTTGTAACTAAATTCAATCCACAATTTGGATCCTTGATGCCTGTTAATTAAGGACAAAAGTAGTGTACGGTTTTTATAGTTCTGGGTTCAACTTCACATTTCTGCTCGAATTTGCAGTTCATGGTACTCCTTGTGCTGCGCCATACCTTGCCGATCATTACTACTAGAACCGAAGACTACTCTGTGACATTGTTTACAGTAAGCTGTGCATTTGCGGCTTCGATGTAATATATGATTGCATTCAAATATCTTCATTTCATGTATTAAAATAAAGTTAATATTGGTGCAGTTATCGCTGTTGAGAACAATTGGGATTCTTCTGCCAATTTATGTCATGGTTAAAGTCTTTGCAGCCGTCCAGCGTCAACGTCAGCTGGTCAGTTCATAATAATCTTAGTCCAAAATTTTGGTAGACTGGGAGACCCTGTATATTATTGGCAGTTCTACTACCCTTCCCTGTATCTGAAAGTGGGTTATGGTCAAGATGAAAGAATTCATGCTTTTTCTCAGCTTATTGATCTCTCTTGGTTCCTGGCTGGTTAAGTTTATGTCAATATGTAGTAAATAATAGAAGGCCTAAGCGGCTGATATTGTTCGATTGAGCAGGTTTCACATATGGCGTTCATCCCATCTTCGGATGAAGAAAGTGAGCTCCCCCAAGTAGAAGCTCAGTCTCGACTAGAACCTCAGTCACGGCTCATTCGTGTGCAATGACTGGTGCACCGACTCCACCAAACAAAAATGGTCAAGCCAGAGCATCAGCAATGTCATGTTACGTATAGCAACTGCGTGTTGCTGCAATCTGGGGACTGGAGGGAGCAGTACTGCTAGCAAATCTTCAAAATTCTTCCGTCTGTTCTTCCCATAGTGGTGGAAATTTCGCTACCTATGTCAATCGAGAGAGAAGGGAGATGGATGTACCTCCAAGAGGTTGGGGGACGTGTGGCTATATGATGTATGCTCTTGTATGAGAAAAAAAGAAGAAGAATGTATAGCTTTAAAGGTTTATCACATGGCTTTTTAAGGTTCAGTTAATCACAAAGTACAGCGTTCATGTCAATGCAAACCGAAGATTTCAAACTCAAAACAGAATGGAGTCCGCCAGAATGCATATATATGTTGACGTAACTAAATCATCAGCAACACCAAGACACAATTCAACTAGACAGACAAAGATAACGTAAAGACATATACCATAGATTAAGAACAAAAGCACAATAGTTGTTTTCCAATCCAGATCCCAAACAACATTCATGAAAGAAGTTTGATATAACAAAAGACAGATATAAGTGTAGTGTTCCCATAAAACCCAAAAGACACTTTATTCTTGAAGACAAACAAAGGCATCAATGATTACGACAACGGACAGTAACACCCTGCAAGTCATTCCTCTTCGGTCTCCGATTCAGCATTCTGGAGCCAATCAATGAATGGCTCAGCGCTCTTCACGATCTTAGAATCCTTGTTGGCTCCTTTGAGATTCCCGTACCACTGCAGAATGTGCTCCTCCTCCAGAACATCAGCGTCATAGAGAGCTTTTAGAATAAGAGCCACCTCCTTCCCTGCACCAGATTTCTCAAAGAAACTCTGAATGGAACCAAGTAGAAGCAACTGAGAATCTCCACCTTGGGCTGCAATGGCAGCAGCCAGATATTTCTTCTTCTTGACAACTTCCTTCGCAAGCCCCTTCTCAACACCCTCGAACAATGCCATAAATAAAGCATCCATCTTTTCCTGACCTGAACCAGGAAGTGAATCCAGAAGACCAGGCAACTGGCTTGCAGAGACTCCTGTACCAATGCTTTCTTTTAACTCACTGGTTAGAATAGTGGTAGAAATCGTCTTCCCGTTCTCTTTGGATTTCTCCTCAGCTTTAGGAGAAACAGCACCTTTTGGGCTGCTGCCATTAGCTTTTGCAGTTTCCTTGGCCTTCTTTTCGGTATCAATGGTAGCAAGCATAACCATTTCAGCAGTAGCAGCACTCAATTGCTCCTGGATGCGCTGACGAGCTGCCTCGGCAGATGTATCAGTGTGCCACTGAACATCATCATCACCATCATCATCGTGCTCTTCCTTCTCATCAACCTGACTATGTGTAGGCGACACGCGCTCTTCATCAGATCCACTTGCCTTCTTCTTTGTACTTCCAGCCTTGGCTCCATCCTTTGAGGTAGTAGTTGAGCCCTTCTTCTTGACATCCTTCTTCACTTTCTTCAACTCCTCATCTGCAGCCTCACCTTCCTTTAGTCGTTCCTTCTCAGCTCTCCTCATTGCTTTCTTGTCCTTCGATCCCTTTTTTGATTCCGGTGGGTTCTTCAAAATGAAAGTGGTCAGCTTGTCTCTCATATCCACATCAGAAATAAATCCACAGGCAGCACACTTGAGTTGGAGCATCTGACTTTTGGTGATGAGTATCTCAGTCTCTGGATTCCCACAGCCATAGCACTGAACATACTTTTTTATGAAGATTTCCAGAAGTCCAGCAAGTTTTGCAGTTTCATGTGAGCCATTCACCAGAGCAATACCAGTTTTCTCATCAAATTTTGATTGAGCACCAAGCTCACAACCAAAGTACTTGGTAGTATAAGAAGCAGGCCGAGCCAAAGCCTTTGCAATGTCAACCATGTTGACTATATTAGTCTTGATGCCATTTCCTCTGCCCTCAATCTTGGTTACCATTCTAGGCATCTTATACCTGTAGAAGGCATCGTCACTGTTTGAAGCACCAATGTTCTGCAACGCCATCTTGTCTTGATTAAGAGTAAATCAAAGATGAGATGCTTATAATAGCTGAGGGTAAAGGATGGATTGCAGAGGGTATGAAGAGCTGATATTGCCTGCCAAAGAACTTTTAGCAAGAAAAGACTTCACTTTTTCTGTCAGAAAAGGTTGCATCCAGAAGCAACCATGAAGCTCTGAGTGTTCAACAAATGGCCCAGTATGCATACAGATGGTTTTTTGGTCAAACAGTGGCCGCTCCTTTTCCCGTGAGAGCAGGCAACGATTACCTAGCAATCCAATCGTTCCCAAGATGAAAATGGCCTGTATGGACATAAAAGAATCTCAACTTTCACAAACTGCAGATTGCAGCAACACTTCCAGCAAAGCTCCTGAACAACCCAAAACACAGCAAATGTCAAGATTAAAGTTCCAAAGTAAAAGGAGACACATTACATACTTACATGAAGTCAAATACAGAGAGAAGGAAAGCAAATTTAGAGCATTTGATTGCTTTAAATGCCAAATGTGAAACCTTTAATGGCATAATGTGAGGGATAAGGTTTTCCAACACACGAATGATTGAAACCTGGATTGTGGTTCTTTAGTCTCAATTGAGTATGCATTTACCCGCAATAGACTTTTATGCACCGAATTATCAGACCACATAGGTCGGAAAGCATATTCTCAGTACAAAATGAAAGCAAGGGGGGTTCCTGGTTGAAGGTAAGGACAAGTATATACTGAACCAATTAAGCAGTGACAACATAAGATTATCAGGAGCTAAGGGAAGCCAAAGACAGTAGTAAATTACCAAGAGACATCATATATCAGGCATACAAATGCACAATATCAATCATCCTAAGACATCTAGAATGAAATCAATCATACAAAGGTTCTACTGGAAAAAAATCGTATGCAAAATAATACCACAACCAAGCACAGAAACCACTAAGCTCGTAAGAATAAATTGCAGCCCAGCCTACTTAAGCCAAGGTCACAAAGACAATTTCTGCATAAAACACCAACAGTTGCAGATAATAGATAAATTAAGTACCCTTCAAATGTAATTAAGAGGTTCCCAATCCATATCATGTAGCTACTTCCTCTTTCATCATTGATTGACACAGTAAATACTCTGTGAACACAGACCCCAAAAAGCATTAAAAGATGATCGCAGAAACAATACCAAGAAATACCAGACTCCCCAATCTTTTGGGAGTATGTTAAACCAAACCCAAATACAAAATCTACAATAACGCCCAACGGAACAACAATAGGTAACATAAACGAATACCCATCAAAACGACGCTTCCGCTATTCAGAAACCCAAATTCCTAAACTAATCTACCATGCAACCAAACGAGAAAAACAACGCTAGGTAATCAGCCATCCAGAATCGCAAGATCCAACCTTTACCAGCAATTTGAAACAAAACAGACAAACGGTAACAATAACCAACATAAGGAGAAAAGAGCACCTTCAAAAAGATAGCGAAACGGCGAAGGACGCAAAAACAAGGAGAGCGGCAATCGGTGTAGATCTCAGGGTGTTGCAAGACAGCGGAGCCGATGGATGCAGAAGGGAAAAGATATCTCCAGAGATCAGTAGAAGCTGTTTGGTTATATGGGTTATCTCGTGGCGGTGGGGATGTGGCTCTCTCAAGTCTCAACAATACAATTTTGCTGAAATAAAAATAAAACGTCGCATCCTTCCTGAGGTTTATATATAGCTGTCGATTAGGGTTCTTATTCTTTTCTTGGTTCGGATATGGACTATGGAAGCAGGGGCGTTTCAGTCTTCGGCCAGCATACGGAATATTAAGATTTTTTATGTATATTTTGAATATTTTCTTAATTTTGATGATTATATTCTGAGCTGTCATTAAACTATGTTCGATAACACTTTAGGGTAAATTTCACTTCGATAAAATACGATAGAGAGGTGCATGGATCATAATGAATATTTAATTGACAAATTGTAGCTTTTTTAAGAATTATGAAGTTAAACATGCTCAATGTTGAATAGTGTAGAGATAAGTGACCTCTCAAAATGTCATTATGATGCTCCCAAAAAACAATCGAATGACATTACACCATTACGAATTGAATTTGATGCATGCTTCAACAAACCTAAAAAAGGGTTTTCTATTTCCCGCATCTAATACATATAGGAAACCATATTCATCGAAGTTCATTCGTATCAAAGATAAATATCTATTACAAATCACTCTATTAGAGAAGGATTGTATATAATAATCCACTCCTCATCGCTCTGTTCGTTTACAAAATCATCGGCTATACATGAGGTTCCCACACCTTGTACCTGGTCGATACTGGAAGATGATCCACCACAAAATAATAGCAAGTAGTTGTGGTGACTCTAACATAATAAAACCACACTTGTCTCCAGTATGGATTAATATAGAGAACACTCGTAATTGTCAGCAACACCAAGACAAAAGACACTCCACTGCTTGTGTAGAAGCTCTCTATGTCAATGTAGCCACCATATTCGTCATCAGTGGGCGTCTGCGTTACATACGGTTTTGGTGTCGACTGTAGTAAAGTGCAGTTCATGAGATGAGGATTCCCCCTGTAGCTATCTTCATCGAATGTACCGAACTGTCCGACCCTTTTAGGACATTTCCCAGATAAATTGTTGTAAGCCACACTAAAAGAGGATAGATAATTCAACGCCGTGAGTTGGGTAAGAATCACCCCACTCAAATTATTGTGAGAAATATCCAAAGTCTCAATCGATATTAGGCCCGAAAATGTTGGTGGAATGGGCCCTGTCAACATGTTGTACGACAAATTGAGAACTTTGATGGTATCCAGATGGCCAATTTGAGGAGGAATCTCGCCGAAAAAATGATTGTTTGAGAAATCCAAACCAGACATTAAAATAAGAGGTTCCCCCTTGTAAATAATTCGATTGGACTTGGTCGTAAATTCTAGATCATCAATAAAATAAACCTCATCCTTCTTGCTTGTGTTGCACCTCACGTTATTGGAAGTCAATGCAGAGGAAAGACGACCAAAAAACTGATTGTGTGAATCATCAATCAACTTTAGTTGCCCCAAACACAGGGGTGGCAGAATTTCACCTTGCAGCTCATTGTCGTTTAATAAGAGATGAGTTAGCCGAGGCATTTCAACAATCCATGTCGGAAACGTACCTGTGAAGCGATTGTGGCCGAGATCCAATACCTGCAAGTCATAGTTCACGTATTCTTTCTCGACACCGGAAATCCCATGATGATTATCTGATCCTCCAGATAAGCTTCCTCCCAATTTATTTCTCGACAAATAAACTCCCTGCATGTAAGGAGAAATGAAATCTGGCGGCAGAGTTCCCGAGAAACTATTACTTGAAAGGTCCACGACACCGATTCGAGGCATGTTCCAAATCCTTCTTGGAATCTCACCCGAGAGCGTATTGTTTCGAGCATCTAACCACATCAGCAAAGAACAATTTGAGAGTTGTTTTGGAATTTTACCGGAGAGTTGATTATTAGATAAGTATAGATACGTTATATTGGGAAGGAATGCACAAATATGAGGTGGGATGGAGCCGTAGACTTCATTATCAGAGATATCCAAAAACTCCAATCCTTTTTGGCGATGATCTTGATGATGGATTGGAAGTTGTATGGACCCGGAGAGTGAACAATTTTGGAGATTAAGGGATTTTAGGTTGGTGTTATTAGAAACCAACCACCATGGGAACCCAACACCTCCCTTCATTTTGACGTTTGAGATATCGACTACCTGCAAGTTGGTTTGATAGTAGAGAAACTTCGGGAATGAACCAAAGTAGCCACCATGATGATCATCGCTCCCCGAAGACAAAGTCAGGTAGTTCAAAAGGAAAAGCGGAGGATTATCCCGTTGGCTCGTCTCATAATGCTCATTCTTGTCTCCATAGAGCTCCTTGTTTCCGGCCCCGAAAAACAATTTGAGACGAGAATGGTTGAAAAATGGGGCCAAGGAGAGCGGTATTCGAAACCGGTTTTTGGGAATCATAATCTGTTCCAGAGATAACAGAGCCGTCAGCGGGGATTCAGCTATATCTCCTATTGCGAGTTGTCTGTACTTGTACATATTTCATTCTTGATGTAGTGGTCTAGTAATTGTTCACGTAACCCTAGCTGCTTGTGAATGGGTCACGTAGTATAAAGCCTTAGTGTGAGGCTCGGCCGAACTGTAACTCAAGAATAAACCTAGTGGAGTTTTGTTTGAGAGCTGTAGCTCTCCGTGGAGTAGTCTCATTCACGTTGAACGGGGAAACCACGTTAAATCCGTGTGTTCGTTTATTTCCGCGTTTGGTTTTCTACATGGTATCAGAGCTGTGACAAGATCTTCGTTTCCGTTGTGCAACGATGAGTACACTCTCTAGTTATTCGTCTACTACTTCTGGCAGTGCTCCGACCGGTGGCGGTGATGGCGGTGGTAGTGGCGGCGGGTATGAGGCTGATCCTGCATCCCCATATTTCTTGAGTCAATCTGATAACCCCAATCAGTTGTATGTTGGTGAGCTTCTAAACGAGAACAACTATGCTGACTGGGTTTACGAGATGACCACGTCTCTCCTAGCAAAGAACAAGCTAGGGTTCGTGGATGGGTCACTCAAGGATCCCACTGATCCGGGAAAATTGCGTGCCTATCGTCGTGCGGATGCTATGGTAAAAGGATGGTTGACTACCGCCGTTGACAAACAAGTTCGTCGTGGTATGCGACACGCCAAGACAGCTCGCGAGGTGTGGGTTGACTTGCAAGAGCGGTTCGAGCAAGGGAGCCATCCGCGCGTTTATGAGGTACGACGCTCCATCAGCCGTTTATCACAAGAAAAGTTGTCTGTGTCGGAGTTCTACACAAGACTTCGTGCTTTTTGGGAGGAACTTCAAACCATGGCCCCCCTCCATACGTGTTCGTGTGGGTTGTGTACTTGTGGGCAGCAACAAAAGAACCAAGAGCGAGAGGAGCAATTTCGGCTTTATGACTTCCTCATGGGGTTAGATGAGTCGTTTTCCACGGTTAAGACTCAGGTTCTTTCAATGCCGAAGATGCCTACACTTTCGGAAGCTTATCAGCTAGTCTCGAATGATTATCATCAGCGCCGCATCGCTGCTAGCAATCGTCCCTCTCCAGAGGCAGCCGCCTTCTTCACTCGGGAGGAACAAGGGCGCGGACCCGCTGGTTCTGATGACAAGCCGTGCTGTAGCCACTGTGGTAAACAGGGGCATTCTAAGGACCGTTGTTTCGATCTCATTGGTTGGCCTGAAAAATCTGGTTCCAAGGCCGATAAAGGTAGCCGCAAGAAGTCCTCGGAGCGTCCTCGTAATGGTCCTAAGGCGGCCAAGGTTGCTGTCACTGAAAGCCCTATTCCAGGTCTCACAATTCAGTAGTTTGAAAGTCTTAAGAGCTTCCTTAGTGAAGATTCAAAGAGTCAACTTGATGAGGTTGGCAAGATGACAGGTACTTCTTCTTCCTCTGCTGCCGAATGGGTAATTGACACTGGATGTAACCATCACATTACCAAAGATGCAAATTCATTATTTACTAGTTTTCATGAGCCTGGGCTTGCTGTTCGCGTCCCGGATGGGGGTGCAATTGATGTTCGTCGTGTTGATTCTGTTCGGTTGGGCAATGGGTTGATATTGCCTCGGGTGTTACTTGTTCCGGAATTTAAATGCAATCTGCTTTCGGTTAGCCAGCTCACTAAACACTTTCCTCTCGCGTTGATTTTCTTGGGGGATTTCTGTTTTATTCAGGACTTACACTCCAAGAATCTGATTGGGATGAGTAAGGAGCGTGACGGTCTCTACTACTTGCGTCTTTTTGATTCAGTTCGTCAGGCTATGGTGTGTGCGACGAGGCAGAGGAGACAGTCAAACTATGGCATTCTCGTCTTGGGCATCCCTCCCTGGAGAAGCTAAATCGGTTGCATTTTATTTCTAGTACTAGTCGGTTAAGAACAGATTCTTGCGCTTCATGTTTGAGAGCAAAACAGTCCAGAACTCCATTTCCGTTGAGTAATTCTCTTCGTAGCAGTCATGCTTTTGAATTAATTCATGTGGATATTTGGGGTGGCTACAGGGTAGCCTCGTTGAGCGGTGCTCACTATTTTTTGACGATTGTGGATGATTTTACACGTGGTACGTGGATTTATTTGATGAAATTCAAGTCTGAGGTTGGGAAATATCTTGAGATGTTTTGTCAACAGGTTCAACGCCAGTTTGGGGCCTCGGTTAAGCGCATCCAAGCTGATAACGGCCTTGAGTTTCAGACAGTTCAGCTTCGTGATTATTATGCACGTGAGGGCATTCTACTTCAGACGTCCTGTGTTGATACGCCGCAACAGAATGGCGTTGTTGAGCGCAAACACCGTCATATTCTCGAGACGGCTCGCGCTCTTCGTTTTCAAGCACACTTACCTCTTAAGTTTTGGGGAGAATGTGTCTTAACTTCTGTCTATCTCATCAACCGCTTACCTTCATCTCTCTCTCATCACAAGTCACCGTATGAGAGCTTGCATGGTCGTTCGCCGTCTTATGTGCATTTGCGCACTTTTGGGTGTCTGGCTTTTGCCAAGGACACTCGTCATCACTTGGACAAGTTTGACGAGCGCGGTCGCGAGTGTGTATTTATTGGGTATCCCGATGGCCAGAAGGGCTATCGTCTTTTTAATCTTCGCACTCGTCGTTGTTTCACCAGTCGAGATGTCGTGTTTCAGGAGGAGAAGTTTCCCTTCCAGGAAATTCCGTTGCCCTCCACTCCCACGTCCGCACCTCTGCATGGCATGCATGAGGAGGTCCCTACCGTGGCTGCCGATATGCTTTCCTTTGAAGAGTTCCCACCAGCCGTGGAGCGCTCCTCGCCTTCGCCTGCAGCGGAGCCGTCGCTGATCACTCCCTCATCCAAGTCTCCTCCGAGCGATGATGGACCCAGCACTTCTTCCACGTCCAACAGTGGCTGCAACCTCGATCAAGAGCCCAGTCCTTCTCCAGCTTCACCAGCCGTGGCAGATCCCGTTTCGCCCCCTGCTGTTCGACGTGGTGATCGTGTTCGTTGCCCCCCTGGATTCTTGGTGGACAATTATGAGGTCAAGTTCCCTTCCTCACAGTTTTGTTCAGTTCCTGCAGTAACCCATCCCTTGTCGGAGGTTATTAGCTCTCATCGTTTATCCCCTAACTACTGTGCCTTCTTGGCAGCTATTGATCGTCACCGCGAGCCTCGGAGTTTCAGTGAGGCCGTTCGCTACCCTTGGTGGCGTGAAGCTATGCAAAAGGAAATTGCTGCTCTAGAAGCGCATGGAACGTGGGATCTCCGTCACCCACCGTCCGGTAAACGCATCGTCGATGCGAAATGGGTGTTTAAGATCAAGTATCGACCTGATGGTTCCATCGAGCGCTACAAGGCTCGTCTTGTAGCCAAGGGCTTCACACAGGTCGAAGGTATCGACTTCCATGACACCTTTGCTCCTGTAGCTAAGTTGGTTACGGTTCGGTGTGTTCTTGCAGTTGCAGCTCAGCGGGGTTGGCATCTTCACCAGCTCGATGTCAACAACGCGTTTCTTCATGGTGATCTAGATGAGGAGGTTTATATGCGTGTCCCGCAGGGTTTTGCCACTCCTGGTGATACTCGAGTTTGCCGGCTACGAAAATCGTTGTATGGGTTGAAGCAAGCTTCGAGAAACTGGTATAAGAAATTCACTACTGCTCTTCAGTCGATTGGATTTCAAGCATCTAAAGCAGATCATTCCTTGTTCACTCGTCAACATGGCCGTAATTTCACTTTTGCCCTTATCTATGTTGACGACGTGATCCTTGGCGGGGATGATCTCGAGTTTATTGCCCAGGTTAAACAGCTTCTCGATCGCAGCTTCAGCATAAAGGATCTCGGGCCGTTAAAGTATTTTCTTGGTATAGAAGTTGCTCGGTCTCCTAAGGGAATCTTCCTTTCCCAGCGGAAGTACGCCCTTGACATCCTTGCGGATACCGGGAATTTGGGGGTTCGTCCGTGTGTGTTTCCCATTGAGCAAAACCATCACCTCACCCGCATAGAAGGACCAATGGCTGCTGATCCTAAGTCGTATCGCCGACTGGTTGGGCGCCTCCTGTATCTTACTGTTACTCGGCCTGATCTTACATATGCAGTCAACATATTGAGTCAGGCAATACATTCTCCGCGGCAGTGCCATGTTGATGCTGCTAACCGTGTTCTGAGATACTTGAAGAGTTCGCCAGGTAAAGGTATATTCTTTTCGGCTACTGGCAGTCTTACCCTCACTGCGTACTGTGATGCAGATTGGGCAGGATGTTAGCAGACTAGGCGTTCTACCACTGGTTACTTCATGGAGTTAGGTGGCAGCCCCATTTCCTGGCGAACCAAGAAGCAGCCTGTTGTCGCTCTCTCCTCTACTGAGGCAGAGTATCGTGCTATGGCCAATGCCGTTAGTGAGGTCATTTGGTTGAGATGGCTCTTGCGTGAGCTTCGTGTCCCAGTTCGGAGCGCGACTCCGTTGTATTGTGATAATCAGGATGCTCTACACATAGGAGCCAATCCAGTTTTCCATGAGCGCACGAAGCATGTGGAGATGGATTGCTACTTTGTTCGGGAGCGCGTCGCCAGTGATGAGGTCGCTCCTTGCAAGATTTCTACCGCTCATCAACTCGCCGATGTGTTTACAAAAGGGCTTGGCGCTGATCAGTTCGCTCTTCTCTCTTCCAAGCTTGGCCTTCATGACATTCATGCCTTCGCTTGAGGAGGAGTATTGCGAGTTGTCCTTACTTGTACATATTTCATTCTTGGTGTAGTGGTCTAGTAATTGTTCACGTAACCCTAGCTGCTTGTGAATGGGTCACGTAGTATAAAGCCTTAGTGTGAGGCTCGGCCGAACTGTAACTCAAGAATAAACCTAGTGGAGTTTTGTTTGAGAGCTGTAGCTCTCCGTGGAGTAGTCTCGTTCACGTTGAACGGGGAAACCACGTTAAATCCGTGTGTTCGTTTATTTCCGCGTTTGGTTTTCTACATCTCCCGATAGATTATTGGAATCAACGTCAATAACTCGTAGCGAGGTCATATTTGATAGACACTGCGGCAGTTCACCCGTCAGATTCGTCTCCAGGAGATACAAGTTTTGAAGACGAGTTAAGTTACACACCGCTGCTGTACATTATTGTAAGAAAAAAGTTAAATGTTAGCTAGAGAAACATAAATGCAACACATGGTTGATACAAACGACATTCACCTTGCGGGAAAGTATCCGATCCAAGAGGCGAATTCCGAATCTCCAAGCTAGCAAGACCCGTCATCGTGATGCCAACCGCATCAAGGAAGTTGTCGTCCATGGTCGAGCTCCATATCGTCAAATTTTCCAGAGACCCAAAACTGGACCATCCTATTTCATTACATACATAATCATATGATTGAATTGTTAATTGGGTTACTGTTGAATCTTAATTTTAGTAAAAGGGATGAAAGAATCTAACCTTGGATATGATAGCTATCAAGTGAATTGGAAGAAGATGATGTCCTGCAGAAGTGAAGAAGGCTGAAGAACAAAAGACTCTGCAGGTTTGAACGAAGAAGAAACTTCACCCAGAAACGAAACGTTTCTGGGTTCCCTCCACTCAACTTAAACGAAGAGGCAAAGCGGCGTCGTTGTGGAGTCTCGGGTTTTACCGTTGAGTGGACTTTACTGTGGCGAATGGAGAGAAGACAAGTGCCATTTACTTTACAGTCAATTTAAATTTCTGTTCATCTTTATTTCTTTCTGGTTTTGTAACGTGAAGAACACAGTTCAGATGGATATATAAATCAAAGGCAGAGAACAATGATTCTTTTGCGCGTTCCCCATTTCTGTGCCGCATTCTTCTTCTTCCTCTTAACCCTAGCTCAGCTAGTTTGATATGGTATCAGAGCGGTTACTGATCCAGTAACCTTCCATGGCGACTCACAACAACACTCCACCTGGCACTCCTGGAGGCATTCCTTTCGGCTCCTTTTCTGGAATGAGCTCTGGTGTAGCAGGTGGATCCAAAAACAACAACGAGCGCCCAGATCCCCAATTCGGTAACCCCTTCTATATCAACCCCAATGAGAACATTTCTCAAGCTATAGTCTCTGAAGTGCTTGATGGTCCCAATTACCAAATGTGGCAGCGAGCCATGAGGATGGCACTCAAAACCAAACACAAAATTGGTTTTATTGATGGGTCCATCGTCTCTCCAGGAATAGGAAACCCTAATTACAGTACTTGGGATGCTTGTAATACTCTTGTATTGTGCTGGATTCTGAATTCTGTGGACAAGGAGATAAGGAGAAGTGTTATGCAACATGATGTTGCTCAAACCCTATGGGAAGAGCTTAAGGCTCGTTTTGGGTATGCTAATGCAATTAAATTGTCTAATCTGGGTGATCAAATTATTGCTTGCAAACAAGGAACTATGAATGTTACCCAATACTATACTGCTTTGAAAGGCCTGTGGGAGGAACATTTACAGTTCAATCCAATTGTGGACTGTAACTGTGCTCCTCAGAGGACTCAACCTTGTGCTGCAGTGGAGGCTTTTAAGCAGAAGCAGGAAACAGATTACCTCATTAGGTTTTTGAAAGGTCTTCGCCCTGAGTTTGATGTAGTTCATACTCAGATTTTGATGATGAAACCATTGCCAACAGTAGAGGTAGCAATCAATGATGTACTGCAGCATGAACAAAAACTGAAGGCAGACAAAGGCATTACCAGGGGTGTCCAAACAGTTGCTTTGGCTGTACCAGGAGACAATTCTGATGAGAAAAAGTTCTGTCGTTATTGCAAGAAAGATGGTCATGTTAAGGATGAATGCTGGAAGCTGAAAAACAAAAAACTCAGGATGGCTGAAGGAGTAGCAGCTGCTGTTTCTCAAGGAGAACATTCCAATGAGGGAGATTCAACTGGTTCAGAGTCTAAACACAGCTCAGACTCTAGAAGTGTCTCCTCAAAGGATAATCTTCATTTCTCACCTGAAGAGCTCAACAAGCTAAGGTATCTGCTGCAGACAGTTCCCTCACCTAGTCCATCACCACCAGCATCACCCTCAGTTAATCACCTGGCTTTCTCTGTTGCTCATAGCATGTCTCAGTTCCCAACTCATGCTGGTAAGTTCATACTCTCATCTTTTATGCAACACAAGTCAGAACATCTTGCTCATACTTGGATCCTAGACACTGGGGCATCTGATCATATTGCTTGCAATATTGCATTGTTTGCTGAAGCTATGGCAGTTAAAGACCAATTTGTCTATCTACCTAATGGGACTAAGGTTGTAGTTAGTCACATAGGAAAGGTTAATCTATCCCCAGATCTTACCTTAGACAATGTTCTCCTTGTGCCAAGTTTTACTTTCAACCTCATCTCAGTTAGCAAACTTACAAATGATCAACCTATCTCACTACACTTTGAATCTGATGCTTGTAAAATTCAGGACCTGGTGACCCAGAAAAGGACTGGTTTGGCAAGACAGAATAGAGGTCTATACCAATTGCATACCAAGGCCCATGCACCTCTTCTTTCTACCCCTCAAGCAGCCTTTACCTACAACTTTCAACCACAAAATTTCCACCTCTGGCACTGGAGACTAGGGCACCCAGGCAAAGACAAGGAGAAACAGACATTACCTTGTAATAGAGATGTAGTTTCCCATTGTCAAATTTGTCATTATGCCAAACATAAAAGGCTTTCTTTCCCTGTAAGCACCAGTAGAGCAGAGGATGCTTTTGGTTTAATTCATGTTGACATATGGGGGCCATTGGCTGTCAAGTCACATGAAGGTTTTTCCTATTTCCTGACAATTGTGGATGACTTTACAAGGGCTGTTTGGGTTTTCTTAATGAAACACAAGTCTGAAACTGGTCTTTTGTTGCAATCTTTTTGCACTATGGTTGAAAGGCAGTTCTCTAAGTCTGTTAAAGTTATCAGAAGTGATCAGGGTTCTGAGTTTCACATGGCTGAGTTCTATAGTGATAAGGGTATTGAACATCAACAGTCATGTGTGGAAACTCCAGAACAAAATGCCAGGGTTGAAAGGAAGCACCAACATATACTGAATGTAGCAAGAGCTCTTAGATTTCAATCTGGCATTCCTCTTAGGTTCTGGAGTGACTGTGTATTGCATGCTGTGTATTTGATTAACAGACTTCCTTCCACTATTCTTGAGAACAAGTCTCCTTATGAACTTTTGTATGGAAAAGCTCCAAATCTGAATGATCTTAAGGTTTTTGGATCCCTTTGCTATGCTGCTTCTTTGCATAGGGATAGAACAAAATTTGATTCCAGGGCCAGGCAGTGTATATTCCTTGGTTTTCCTGCAGGGATTAAAGGCTTCAAGCTCTTTGATATCAATTCACACTCTTTCTTTGTTTCCAGAGATGTGATTTTCTATGAATCAATCTTACTTTTTCATTCTACTTCTTCCTCTATTCCTACTGATGATTCATTTTCCCCCATGACCACAGAACCTATCTTACCACACTTTCCTTCTCCTTCTCAAACTCCTTCTATTTCCAAAAACCTTCCTCACTCTCCACATCCATCTCCACTTCAGCCTGCAAACTCCACCACACCTGCTTCTTCTTCTACCACACCTTCTTCTTCTTCTACTAATCCTCCTTCTTCTTCAACACTGCCTGTTGCTTCTGAGGAGGTTATTCCTGCTGTCAGTTTGCATTCTGAGGGGGAGGATAGTGAGATTGATGTGTTTCCTGAGCAGAATGACACAGATGAGGCTGAGTTTTTGAGAAAGTCAAGTAGACCTCATACTGTACCAGTTTGGCATAAAGATTATCATGTTAGCATGGCTGCTTCAACTTCTAAACACCACATTAGTCATCAGGTTGGCTATGACCACTTGTCTGCTTCCCAAAGAGCTTTTGCTCTTAGTGTTCTGTCTGTACAAGAGCCCTCATCATATGCTGAGGCTTGTAAGGATCCTAGATGGAACCAAGCCTGTAAAGAGGAAATCTATGCCTTGTATGAAAATCAAACATGGGAATTGGTCAAGCTGCCACCAGGAAAGAAACCTATAGGTGCAAAATGGGTGTTTAAGGTGAAATACAAGTCTGATGGTACAATAGAGAGGTTTAAAGCAAGGCTAGTTGCTAAGGGTTATACCCAAATCTATGGGATTGATTTTCTTGACACCTTTTCTCCAGTAGCAAAGATCAATTCAGTCAAAACTCTGCTAGCAGTGGCTGCTTCTAAGGATTGGCACATACACCAGATGGATGTGTCCAATGCCTTTCTTCATGGAGACTTGGAGGAGGAAGTGTATTTGGAAATTCCACCTGGAGTTGATGTTCCTAAGGGTTCAGGGCTTGTTTTTAAGCTTAAGAAATCCTTATATGGCTTGAAACAGGCAAGCAGACAGTGGTTTGCAAAACTCACTAGTGCATTGCTGAAAAATGGTTATTCACAAACAGCTTCTGACTATTCAATGTTTGTGAGGTGGATTCAGGGAAGAGTGGTTGTGGTTCTTGTTTATGTTGATGACATCCTGATTGCTGGGAGTTATCTGGGAGACATAGAACAATTGAAGAAGTTTTTGAGTAAAGAATTTAAGGTTAAAGACCTTGGTCAACTGAGTTATTTCCTGGGACTGGAAGTGATGAGAGATCACAACGGGATCACAGTCAATCAAAGGAAATATTGTTTGGAATTGCTTGATGATACTGGTTTTGTGGAGGCAAAGGGTTGCTTGTCACCTGTTGACTGCAATGTTAAGCTATCTGCAGAACAAGGAGAATTGATGGCAGATCCTGGTGTCTATAGAAGACTGATAGGAAGACTGCATTACCTGACCATTACAAGGCCTGATGTGGCCTATGCTGTTCAACAGCTGGCTCAATTTCAAGCTGCCCCTTGTGTTGAGCATTTACAAGCAGCACATAGAGTTATTAGATACTTAAAACAAACTCTTGGTCAAGGCTTGATCTTCAGGGCAGATTCAAAACTTGAATTATCTGGCTACTGTGATGCAGACTGGGCAAGCTGTCCAGATTCAAGGAGGTCTCTCACTGGTTACTGTACTTTCTTAGGGACTTCATTGATCACCTGGAAGACTAAGAAACAGACTACAGTCTCTAGATCCTCCTCTGAGGCTGAGTATAGAGCTTTAGCTCAGGTTGTGTGTGAAGTGCAGTGGTTGAGGAATCTTTTGACTGAAATGGGAGTTAAGGTACCTTTACCAATTCCTCTATTTTGTGATAACAAATCCGCTATGCATATTGCTGAAAATCCCGTGTTTCATGAAAGGACGAAACACATTGAGATAGATTGCCATGTTACAAGAGAAAGGTTGAAATCTGGTTTGGTTAAACTATTTCATGTAAGAACTGATGACCAAGTTGCAGATTTGTTTACCAAAGGCATGACTCGTTATAGATTAAAGTTCTTATTGGACAAGCTGGGAGTGTGTAATCCTTACTCGCCAGCTTGTGGGGGAGTATCAAGTGAATTGGAAGAAGATGATGTCCTGCAGAAGTGAAGAAGGCTGAAGAACAGAAGACTCTGCAGGTTTGAACGAAGAAGAAACTTCACCCAGAAACGAAACGTTTCTGGGTTCCCTCCACTCAACTTAAACGAAGAGGCAAAGCGGCGTCGTTGTGGAGTCTCGGGTTTTACCGTTGAGTGGACTTTACTGTGGCGAATGGAGAGAAGACAAGTGCCATTTACTTTACAGTCAATTTAAATTTCTGTTCATCTTTATTTCTTTATGGTTTTGTAACGTGAAGAACACAGTTCAGATGGATATATAAATCAAAGGCAGAGAACAATGATTCTTTTGCGCGTTCCCCATTTCTGTGCCGCATTCTTCTTCTTCCTCTTAACCCTAGCTCAGCTAGTTTGATAATAGCCTCGTAGAGAAAGCAGAGTCAAGTCTCGGAAAGGCAGAAACAGAGAAGCATTGAGATCCGGTTTTGCTGGTGAGTTGTAATCAAATTCGTCTTGGTAACCAAGATCGAGCTCGGTCACTTTCCCTGTGGCGGGATTGCAACCAACCCCGTCCCAGTGGCAACAGTCGTCGTCGGAACTGTACTCTGTTCCCTGTCTGCTCCAACTGTTTATATACGGCGGATTGGAGAGCGAGGCTTTGATGTTGAGGAGACTGATTCTCTCTTGTTCCCAACAGCCATTGCAACGCTTCCATTCCGTAGCTGTAAACAGTGCCACAGTCCACACGAACCCACTTATGAACCGACCATAACACATCTTTGATCTCTCTGTTTCAAATTGTGGTGATGCTCTGTTTCAAGGTTGGGGGCTCTGTATATATACACACAGAACTTCCTCTGAAAGATGAGAATTCTGAATGAGTTCTGATTCTTTGATTCATACACTAAAAGTCAAGAGCCCTTTGGTCGAAATTGGACGATCAATTCAATTGCTGGCTGGCTGGTTGTGTGGCGCAGATTAATGCAGTAGTACAGTCCCCTGTTTTCCCTTTCTTATCTTTTTGAATCGTTTCTCCTTTTCCCCACTCTATCGACTGTGACTTACCTGCGGCTGTGAGTTCCGTTTTCTTTCTTTTCAATCAGCTGAAAACGAAAGCAAGCAAGAGAGTGAGAACAACCAATTGATCTTCAACGCTTCTCCACACGGTAGTTTTTTCCCGCCAGGCCCATTGTTCCCACCTATTCTATTCGTTTAAAATTTCTGTATTATCGTTAAGTTGTTTCAGTTTTTTTTATTCATTTGATGACTCCCATACTAAACACGTATAACTTGTTCAATATCCGTATTTAATGAATTAAATTGCTAACATTACTATTATTTTTTTAAATAATTAATTATAATATTATTATGAATATTAACGTACTATTAAACGTAACATTAGTTTAAAAACGAAGTAAAAATACCCGTATATATTTTATACATAAATTTTCCGTACAATATTTTACTAACTATGCCTTGGATTTCCTCATTAAAGTAACTTCATATTATAATCCAGTTACTCTCAGTGAGATATTTTTTTTTATCTCAAACTGAATTTGAGATATGATATTATACTCTAACTTCTAAGCGATAGACCTAAGGTTTCGATGCTCTAAATTCAAACCCAAACCCAAAGTCAAAACCAAAGCCAACCCAACCAATTAATTGCCTACATTCTATGCAATTGGGAGGAGGAAGTCTGGTCCACTAAGACCTTTTTTTTCCACATTCCTTTCCTGCATAATAGTAGTCCAAGCATTCGGAGCCATTAATAAAATGATACAGATATTTTTATAAACAAATAAATATAGAGGCTCTATAGACTCACCTCGTATTAACATGTTGAGAATTTTGCATGGCTAAACCCTAATTGATGGACAGGTTATCACCAGATAAAATATTCAAACAATAAAATTACCACCTTTTCGAAAAGTTTTTACTCTTCTATATTTCTCCTAAATCCTAATGAATGTAGCACCATTATACATAACCTTTTCGAATAGTTCCTCCGCTTCTACAAACACCTACTAAGATAAAAAATAGGAAAACATAACAATTGAATGACATTAATACATATAGGAAATCATATTCATCCAAATTCATTCCTAGCAAAGATAAATATCGATTACAGATCATTCTATAAGAGAAGGATTAGATAAACCACTCCTCATCCCTCTGTTCGTTTACAAAAGCGCCGACTAGAATCGAGGTTCCCACACCTTGTACTTGGTTGGAACTGGAAGATGATCCACCACAAAATAATAGCAAGTAGTTATGGTGACATCAATGCAATAAAACCATACTCGTCGCCAATATGGATTTATATGCAAAACACTCGCTATTACCAACAACACCATGACATAAGATACCGAGCCACTGACGTAGAAACTCTCCATGTCAATGAACCCTCCTTCTCCTTCTTCATCGCCAATATATGGTGTCGGCCTTACCAATGTATTTGGTGTCATGAATGGTAATGTGCAGTTAAGAAGAGGATTTCCTTCGAAGATATCTTCATCAAATGTACTGAATTGTGCAACCTTTTGAGGACACTTTCTAGATAAGTTGTTGTAAGCCACGCTAAAAGTGGATAGAGAGTGCAACTCCGTGATTTGAGAAGGAATCACCCCACCCAAATTATTGTGAGAAAGATCCAAACTCTCAATCTGTGATAGGTTTGCAATAGTCAGCGGGATGGGTCCTGTGAACATGTTGTAGGAAAAATTAAGAACTTTGGTGTTACCCAAGTGGCCAATTTGAGGAGGGATCTCGCCAGTGAAATTGTTGCTCGAGAAATCTAAACCATTCATATAATAGAGAGGCCACCCATGGTAAGTATATGTTTTTGTCTTTGTGACGAACTCCATATCACGCTGGGGATTATCATACGCATTCCGTCCATTGCAGTTGGTGCCGTTTGATGTGAATATTTCATAGCTGATATGACCGGACAGATGATTATGAGAAACGTCAATCAACTTTGAGGTTTCCAAACAAAATGTATATGGAAGATCTCCATGAAACTGGTTGTCATTCAAGAAGATATAACTCAGTTGACGCAATCCACCAATCCATTTTGGGATTGTACCCATCAAATGATTGTGACTCAGATCCAAAACACCTATTGAGTATTCTGTATGATTATCAACGCCATATATCCCATCTTGATTATCCGATAGTGTGGCAGGTAAGGTTCCTTCCAGTTGATTTCTGGATAGGTAAACTTCATGCATCAATGGAGAAATGAAACCCGGTGGCAGATGTCCCGAAAATTTGTTCTGTGAAAGGTCTTGAATAGAGCCGGTTGACATATTCCAAATCCACCTCGGAATTTCACCAGAGAGTTGATTATTACTCACATCTAAAATTTCGAATGGTGAGCAATTTGATAATTGTGGTGGTATTTCACCATAGAATTTGTTATCAGATAGGGATATATGACCTATGTTGGGGAAGAAAGCACATATATCAGGTAGAATGGGACTAGGAGAGAAGTCATTGGTGGAGACATCTAATGTCTTTAAATTTTCATGAGGATGATACTCTTGATGGATTGGAATTCGAAAATGACCTGAAAGTGAACAGTTGGAGAGAGAAAGGGAGTTCAAATGTGTAATATTGTTAGTCACCAACATGGTTGTCATGCCGGTGGCATGCCACCCGGTTTAACCTGGTTTAACCTGTGCCGGTCATGAAACCGGCATGACACCACCGGTATGACCGGTATGATCGACTTACGCATTCTAAGTAAAATGGCATCATTTTAATGAATTAAATGAATAAAAAAATTAATTTACTATTCATTTTATGAATGTAATAGTTAAAAGTTGATGATATTTGTTGGATTGTAACTAAATTGTCCACAAATATGTTTTATATATGATTAGATATATTGGATATTAATTGTTTTCACATTTTTTTAAACCGGCATGAACTGGCACAAACTGGTTATACCACCGGTCGTACCATTCCACTTGCCAAACCGGCACAACGGTATAAACCGGTTTGACAACCTTGGTCACCAACCACCATGGAAATCCAACATCAGCAACACCAGTTATGTTGGAGTTTGAGAGATCAATTGACTCCAATTTGGTTTGATGGTAGAGAAATTTAGGGAATGGCCCGACATATCTACCATAACCAGGCCACGAAGATAAATCCAGGCATATCAGCTGGAGTAGTGGCGTACCAGTACCACGGCCGTGCATTACCAAATCAAGATGGTCGTCTCTGTAAATTTCTTGGTTATAACCTCCGAAGAAATATTGAAGGCGAGAGTGGTTGAGAAACGGGAAGAGAGAGACTGGAATCCGGAATTGATTGTCGAGAATGTCAATATATTCAAGGGACAAGAGACGTGGGAGGGGAGAAACAGATATATCTCCAGAAAACAGATTACCGGATATAGACAAACTTTGGAGCCAAGTCAAGTTTGACAGACATTGTGGCAATTCACCCCGGCCCTCAGATGATTATCAGAGAGGTAGAGTTCCCGAAGATGCTTTAAGGTGCAAAAAGCTGCATCGATCATGGCAACACATGGTAAGAAGTATAGGTCATAGTAACAAGAAACGAACCATTAGCTAGATGATGATACCTGGAGGAATGGGGGAGCTAAGATCCGAATCTGCAACCCTCAATCGAGTAAGATTGGTCATGACGGTGGCAACTGTTTCAAGGAAGTTGTTGCATGAAATGGAGGAATCCAATATGCCCAAACTTGTCAACTTAGGCCACCCTGCATCCACGTGCAGTGATTACTACCGATCAGTATTATTATTATTATTTATATATATATATATATATATATATATTATTAATTCACAAGTTAAACTACTGTTGCATACGAAATTATCGCTTCCCCTCGAGTCACTGTTCATAAAGCCTAATCCCCTGTGATTAGACCCATAATATTGCAACCTACCGACAAAAAAATCTCCTAAACACTTCTGGAAGCTTCAAAGCAATTATGCATTAGGTTGGCCAATATATATTCCTGGACTCTTCAAGACCTTTTGCATTTGGTTGGCCAATCTATATTATTAATCTGCAAGTATATATTATATATTGGGTGGTCAATGTATTTTATATATGGTTCAGGTGTACGTCTTATTTTATTGTAAGTCCGTCGAATTTTATTATTTTGTTAGAAACCGATTTCTGTAGGGTTTCTCTATTTATTAATATAATTATTATTAGGGTAATTATCAATAAGATTAGTAGTCATTTAATAGAATTAGGTTTATTGTTAGGGTTTTCCACTATTTCCTATATATATGTACTTTGGGCTTCCATTCAGAATCAATAAGAAGCATATTAAGAAAATTCCTAAACCCCATTCTCTCCCAAATCCTCTCAATTTCTCTTATTTCCCTAATCCGGCCGCCGGCCATTCTTTCTTGTTCTTCCCCAAATTCTACCTATTAATCCCTAATTATATTCTTCAAATCCCTAAATCCTCAATTATCAAACCCGTTAGAAACTTTGTTTCTAACATATTTAGAGCATAAATCAATCGGAATTCGGAGCATGAGATTATATCCTAACTTTTAATGGGTGAACTTCAATCCCCAATTCTCTAACTCAAACCACAAGATTCATTCAATCTTTATATGAAAATCAATGATACGTCAAAATTATCAAAGTACAAATAATAAATGTGAACGCTGGTGTATAGCGTACGTCAGACAGACGTATACTAGCATTTGCCATTATATATTGGGTACGCCAATTATATTCTAGACACTTCCAAACAATTTTGCATTGGTTGGCCAATATGCTACATTTAAAAGCCGAAGAATATTAAGTAACATAGGAATAGTATTAATTTTGTACTCCAATACCAAATCTCACAATAAGCTTTCCCTTCCTTCTTAAAGGTCCTATTCCCGATATTTGTATCCCCTACACCCAATTTCATTTTAAGTTGTTTTTCTCACATGGCCTAATTATAATGAAACTTGATATTTTTCATCATAACTTAATTTCGGTATAACTAAAGTATTCACCATCTTATTAATTTGCATTACACAAAGATTTCTTAAGGTCAGTTAACTTTTACATGACAATTCAATCGAGTGTGATACATTTCATAAGTTAAATTTATTATTAGGACCACATGTTACAGAAGATTTATGTAAAGTTTTTCTATAAAAGTAATGTAAATTAAAATTATATAATGTAAAGTTTATAGAGGAATAATTATTTCTTATTCATTAATTAAAAAATACAGTATGCAAGTAATCTTTAATTTTAAGACACTACGCTTCGATTGTTATTCTTATGTATCAATTAAAGGCTTCGATTGTTATTGTTATTCTTATGTATCAATTAAAGGCTTCGATTGTTATTCTTATGTATCAATTAAAAAGGCATACGATGTAAGTCTTCTATAACATAAGTTTCAACGAAAACTCATTTATTATTAACTAAACTATTCGCCTTCTCATCAATTTATATTATAGAATGGTCATGTAAGGTTAGTTATAACTTCTATATAACAGTTTAATCAAATATAATAATTTTCATAATTTGATTTTATTAGACCATATATTAAGGAAAATTACTCGCTCTGTAATAGTTACGTAAATTACAAATACATTACTCAACTCTGAATGTGGCCATAATACATAAAATTTTGAACTTTAATTGGTAGTATTAGTCTAATATGATGATATAACATAGAATCACAACTAATCAATCCATTATCCTAACCCCTTAACATTCAATTTTGAATCTCAACTCAAAACCCCAAATTGTAAACCTAAACCCTAACCCTAAAGTCCTAAATTCTCAAAATTAAAGTAACTCTTTTTTTTTTTGAAAATTCATGTGTTTCCTGTTCATAATATCATAAGCAACGATCAATACCGTTTTGACATGAATCACATGCTCGGAATGACGATTATGAGGCGAGTGCATTGAATGCATCCAAAAAAGTGGGTGCACTGAAGACGCCACTATATATATTAAACTAAAATGTTACATAATTTTCTATACTGATTAAGTTACTACTGGAGTCTTATGAAGAGATAATGATTTCTTATGCATAAATATACGTATTACACAAATATTTTATAATTAGTAAGATGCTATGTAAAACTTATGAGCAGGGGCGGAGCTACCTTAAGGTTCGGGGGGCCCCGGCCCCCCCGAGAATTTCGTAGATCACGTATAAATACATCGTGAATTTTCAAAATTATAAAATAATTTAAGGCTAATATAATTATCCGAGTGGGCAGAAGTGTGTCTATGTAGTTGCTTATAGTCTAGTGGTCTTGTTGTTTGTTTGTCTTATGGTTATACATTGTTTCAATTCCTAGCGGCAGCAAATTTTTTAGTTTTCCTAACTTTTCTTTAATTTTTGCTTAAAGTTAAACTTAAATACTTAACTTTAGTTAAGCTTTTGCTTAAAATTAAACCTAATTACTTAACTTTAGTTTAGTTTCTGCTTAAATATCAATTTTATTTTGCAAATACTAATATGGATATACAATTATTGTTCAATTACAATAACAAAGAATAACATGGTAAAAGTTAAAAAAGAAAGATTAGTTTTTTCCTTGTCGTTTATTATTTATCTTGAACATACTGACAAAAAATTTAGTTCATATCATATGTTTAGATTTTTTAATTATCTTAAATAATGTATGCATGGTAACACTACTAAATTTTGGTCATATCATATATTATTATTGTTTTAATTTTTGACGGACCTATGAAAAAAAATTCGGCTCCCCCCGACTTCCGAATCCTGGCTCCGCCCCTGCTTATGAGAGTGCCTTATCCGAACTATTTGTTAAATTATTTGATATCACATAAATAGTTAAATGACGATATAAAATTGTAAATATAATTTGCTTCTTATCGCTGCGAAGCGCGGGCAAAAAAACTAGTAACTATAATGCGACAAATTAAGAGTATGGCTGGTTAATTAGATGAAAGGAGCTCTAACCTTGATTCTCGACGCAGCCAGGGATATGATAGCCTCGTAGAGAAAGCTCCCTCAAGTCTTGGTAAGTTGAAATCAGAATTGTAGGGATAACCAGGATCAAGCATGAGCTCCGTCACTTTCCCTGTGTCTTGCAACAGTCGTCGTCGTCGGAACTGTTTGTTCCTGTTGGAAATGTGTATGAATAGCTTTGAAAGCTATAGAGTCTCAAGTGGAAAAACTACCACATTGGTAGTTTTACTTGGTGAAATGAGTATAAAGATAGGAGCCTCTCTCCTAAGGGCATGCCCCTTGGGGTGACCCACTTTTGTGGGAGAGGGAGGACCTAACGGACCACCACACACACACGCGCGCGCGCCGTCCGTCCGTCCGACCGACCGGTCGGATGGATCACTTGAGACTATATACATATTTTTTGGAGAAATTCCGAACGAAATTAATTATTTAATAATTAATTATTAATCGGTTACTCTGAGGAATATTCCAAGGATAATCTCCGCAGGATTTATCCTAACCGACGGTTTTAATTAAGGAAGTAATTATCTTCCTTAATTAATCCGACTTATTCCCCAAGCAAGAGGGTATATTCCTAGGGGTTCGGCTCCTATAAATAGCCGCCTCCCCAGCCCCTCTAAAAACACCACAACGAGCATAAACACAATAAGAGAGAGTGTTCAGAGAGCTCCGGTTTTCGCACAAAACCGCGAGTACACAGAGGAGCTGTTTTATCCTGGAGACGACCGGTTGATAGTCTGTCGTGCGCATCGAGGGCAGTGCCGCGAACGTCTTAAAGAGAGCGACCTAGTCCGCGACTCAGCTCCAGATTCGGTATCCTCGGTCTTCTTGTTGTTCCGTTTCTAACAATTTTAAGACGTTCGACTGCTGCTATGTCGACTGAACAGAACAACATGGCCGGATCTGGTGCTGTCGATATCAATCGACCGTTTCGCTTCGTTGGAGTCAACTTTCGTCGCTGGAAACAAAAGATGGAGTTTTACCTGACGACCAAGAAGTTGGCACACTGCCTCACTAGCATGCCCGTCGAGCTGCCGGAAGAAGCGACCGATGAGGAGAGGACTGCTGCTGCTAAGGAAAGGGAGCATGACTTCCTATGCAAGGGCTACATCCTCAACGGCCTGGCAGACGACCTCTACGACTACTATGCGGACAGCAAGAACACCGCAATGATGGTCTGGGATGCGCTCCAAAAGAAGTACGACACGGAGGAGGCTGGAGCTAAGAAGTATGCTGTCAGCC